GATGGGGATTTTAAGTTTCATCATGAGAAAAAACGGGAGTTGGAGTCAGCACTTACCAGCCTTGCTCTGCTTTTACTCTCTTAAGTAGAATCCCCTCAAGTGATGCAGCAGTCGATACTGTGTCTGTTTTGTGCATATGCATCATCTAACCTATGAAGTTTGAAGTTAAAACCTGTTACTGCCTCAAAGCCGGGTGGTGGTGGTGGTGTACATCTTCAATCCCAGCACCCTGGCAAGTGGTGAATCCGAGTTGGAGGCCAACCTGGTGTACAGAGTTCTAGGACCACCAGGACTACACAGGAACACTGTCTCAAAAATAAAATAAAACCTGTGACTGTCTCAAAGGTAGATATCATCATCACTCTGCAGGGCCAGGTGCTATGTGGTAAATTACAGCCGATAGTTCAAACACAGGGATGAGGAGATAGCTCGGTGATGGGGCCCTTGTCTAATGTTCGTGAAGCCCTGGTTTCAGCTCTAAGCATTGCCAAAAAGCAAAGCCCCAGAGTTATAAAAAGGGACTTTTCCAGATTTGTGTGTGGGTCACTAGGACCACTGCTCTGAGAGAGTCGTTCTTGTTTTTTGTGTTTAGTTCATTTGAGATGAACTCCTGCTTTATAAGCCAGGCTGGACCACAAGTGTGTACCATGCAGGCCGCTTGCTCTGAGTTCTCAGCTCTTTGTAGCATTTGGACGTTCGTTTGTCTGTTTTCTCCTAGTCGTTACATGGGGTGGCAAAGTGGGAAGGAGCCACAATCCTTCACTGAATCTCTTTTTCCTCCCTAGGATGTGAGTGATGTCACAAAAAGGTATGTGAGAATATAAGTTAATTTTCTTGGGTTTCACAGAAGGTTCTTGGTCCCTAGAGAGTTATCCCATGAGAAAGGGAGAAAGTCACGGGCAAGGTAGAGACTGGTAGAGACTGGCATACTGAGTTGCATGTGTGTTTAGGGGAGTAGGCATCTGTGGTACTGGGATTGGCATGGTACGAGGACACTGACTGGAGACAGGCTCCTCTCGCCAGCCTCTCCACCAGCCTCTCCACCAGCCTTTGACACTGGCGTTCCTCGTTACCGCTACCCTGCACATGGTGCGTTGTTGGCTGTGCATCTGAGAGGCCCGTCGCCATCCAGGTGTGGGCCAAGGCTTCAGAACTGGCCTTCTGGGCCAGGGCAGGGCCCTTTGCAGAATGCTGGCTCCTCGGGAAAGAATGTTGAAGTTTATCAGTGAGTCTGATGGACGGGGAGACAGAGCCAGCATCCTGAAGCTCTTACAAGGTCTGTCCTCACTAGGAGTGAGTTCTGGACCCTGAGGAAGCCCCAACCTCTCCCCACCAAGCTGAAAAGTTTGTTTCGAGCCCCGGATCTGAAGAAGATGCTGCGAGTCTTTCGAGGTAACTTTGGGGAGAGTTTGGATTACTATAGTGGGGAGAAAGCAGGCGAAAAGTACAGTGATCAGAATAGTAGTTCTGAGTGAAGTCGCAGAGGGACAGATGCGGTGTGCTGAAGACAGTGCCTGTTCTGGGGTGGGGCATGGAGTGACCAGTTCATGCCTTCTCTGAATTCCCCACCATTCTCGAACTGCCTTAGATGTCACATCTGAGACCACCCGTTCCATGTTCCATTTAACGTGTCTTACTCTTCTCATTACAGAGCTGACAGACGTCCAAAGCTACTGGGGTGAGTAGAACCCATGGCCTTGCTGAACTGAAAAGTGTGAACCCCTTTCACATGCTTCTCCCCAACAAACCTGCATGTGCTTTCGGGTCTTAGGTGTTCATACCTCTGCTTCCTCCATCACCTAACTCCGGGTCCTCCACCAACTCATTCTAGCTTCCCCACCCCATTTCCTCTGCCCCTTCCTCTCAGAGTCATGGGCCCAGGTGCCCATTCTCACCTGCTGCTATTGTACCTTCTCCTACAGTGGACGTGACTCTGAATCCGCAGACGGCTAACTTAAATCTTGTCCTGTCTAAAAACCGGAGACAGGTGAGGTTTGTGGGTGCCAAGCCGTCCGAGCCCTCCTGTCCGGAAGAACATTATGACTGTAGCGTCCTGGGCTCTCAGCACTTCTCCTCAGGAAAATACTACTGGGAGGTGGACGTGACCAAGAAGACAGCTTGGATCTTGGGCGTATGCAGTACCCCGGTGGAACCCGTGTTCTCGTTCAGCCCGTACCCCAGCAAGCAGAGTGCCAGCCGCAGGTACCAGCCCCAGAGCGGATACTGGGTGATCGGGCTGCAGCATAAACACGAGTACAGAGCCTACGAGGACTCCTCCACCTCCCTGCTCCTGTCCATGAGCGTGCCACCTCGCCGCGTAGGGGTCTTCTTAGACTACGAGGCTGGCACGGTCTCCTTTTACAACGTTACAAACCATGGCTTGCCCATCTACACCTTCTCTAAGTATTACTTTCCTACCGCCCTTTGTCCGTATTTTAACCCCTGCAGCTGTGCAGTCCCAATGACCCTGCGGCGCCCAAGCTCATGAGGGCCACCCGCGCCTGCCACTGAGCAGAGCTCCTTCGAGCACATGAGTTTGCTCTCTGCGCCTCTGTTCTCTGTGTTCCCCCCGTAGGATACCCCACTGCTGAGGGTGAGTGCTCTTGACTCTTCTTATGGGAAAGGTTTTAACATTTCTCTGTTAACCGTTGTCTTTGATTTCTTGCTTTTTGTTTGTTTTGAAATGGGCTGGCCTTGAACTCTGTGTAATGAGAGTGTCATTGAGAACTGATCCTCCTGCTTGTACCCCTGGAGTCCTAATTACAAGCACATACCTGGCTGTGGTTTTGCTTTAATGTTTGAGATATGGTCTCCATAAATAGCTCAGGCTGGCCACAGACTAGTCCTTCTGCCTCAGCTCCCAAATTCTGATCATAAATAGGTCTATCTCACAACACCTGGCTAAACCGGGTTTGTTGTTATTTTGTTTTGTTTTTAACTGATGTCCTTGAACAAATTTTAAAAATTCTCTATAAATTAGGTAGGAGGTTTTTACTAAACATTGAGTTCCATAGCTGTATTTTTTCTAGCTATTGAGATAATTGTGTATCCCCTTATTCTGCTGCTGGGCCAGCTGCACCGAGTTGTCCCAGCTGTTAGTTCACTACTGATTCCCAAAGGAAACAGTTACTATGCGTTACATTCAGTACTTGATCTCTTTCTGCTGACTCGTTGCTTAGGTTTGCTTTCATCTATAAACAAAACTACCTCTATCTTTGCATTCTTATAGTATCTGTCAAGTTACTATAGAAAATGTAATAATGGGCAAGAGAGTTATATATGTATATATAGGATTGAGTGCCTTAAAAAAACACCACTGATAAATAACAATAAAAAACTCAAACTGACCATTGATAATAATAATCTACTGACCACTATAGTTTTGATGGCCTCAAGAAGAGATTGTAGCTTTGGTTTTTACAGTAAATACTGGCACAAGCTTCAGCCTTCATCATATAATTTTAAGAGTGGTAATAAAAACAGAAAATGTGCTTGAAAGGGATCTAAGGTAAGATAAAGAAGAGAAGACAGAAATGAGGAAGAAATGCAGTTAACCACTTTCAGAGGGTAATTTATTCTGGCCTCCCCTGGCCCCTACTTTCTGTTGTAGAGGATGAACTCAGTCAGGGCTTTTTAGGTCAGGCAGGCATTCTCACACCAGGCTTGACAACCCAGTGACACAGGGTCTTACCAAGTTGCCCAGGCAGGCCTTGAGCTTGTGGTCAAGTCCAGGCCTCAGCATCCCTAGTAACTAGGTTTACAGGCTTAAACTACCTCTTCATCTCACCCCAGAACTTCTCTCTGTGCTCAAGTGCAAATTCCAAATGGCTGAGCTGCTGTAGCTTTGCTGGGGAGGCTACAAGCTTTCATGTTCAACTGTGAAAAAAGTTCTGGTAGGCATGGGGGTGGGAACAAACGTCAGGGGAGACAGAACTGGACTTCTGGCTGTCGGGTGCTCTTGCATGTGCTGTAACTGGAATACACCCTGGATTTCCATAAAAGCAATCTAGAGTGATCTCACTAAGTATTGTCTCACAATTGTGATATGTTGGATATATTGTTTTAAATAAAACTTAGTACTCATTTCAGTTTGTTTTATTTCATTTTGAGATGGCATCTCACTCTGTCGCCCAGGCTAGCCAGACAGTAACCCTGTGGCCCTGACTAGCCTTCAAACAATGGTGGTGGCCTCCTGCCTTAACCTTCCAACTGCCGGCATTACAGGCACGAGCCACCACACCCAGCTTTCATCGTCCTTTTTTAATGTGGGTACTGGGAACATTTCAGTTACACATCGGCTCCTGTTACAGTTCTACTGGACAAATCTGTTCTTTTCATTTTGTCTTGTTTTTTGAGTGAACATGAGAATCCTTTATTTTAATATTCTCCCCCACACTCTCTGTTTGTTTATTTAAAACCTATACAGGCCAATTCTAGCCTCCTCCTTCCATTCCCCTCTCCCAGAGAAAGGGGGGGCCTCAAGTAGCACTAATCCACCTTGACATTCTAGATGAACTTTCTGTCCTTGAGGGAACCCTAGAATAACACAGCCTTGGACCAGAGTACCAAGGAAAACTTGGTACTCTGTTTATTAAAGGACCCATGTACACACTCACCCCTGAACCCTGAGTTGTTTTTTTTCTGGGGGTTGGGGTTAAGATTTTATGCTTAAACGTGTACGTACCTGTTTGTATATGTGAGTGAGGAGGCCAGAGGCCTCAGACCCTATGGAGCTGAAGTTCCAGGCAGGTGTAAGCTGCTTGATATGAGTGCTGGGCATGGAACTCAGGGTCTCTGGCAGAGTAAAGCAGAAAGCATACCTTTAACTAACGCCTCATCTCTCCAGAACCCCAAGGATGTAGCAAGAAAGACCATGATTGAATCCAGCTGGTCCGGAGGATGGTTGGAGAGGTATCATGACTGGAGAACATTTCTGCTCTTGAGGGCCCTGGCCCCTGGTAAACCCTAGTGCGGGTTTGTTCTGGGACATGACACATTAATTGTAAAGGCATTTTTATTTAGAACATGGCTGTTCTGGCAGGAGATCACATCAAAAGATATTCTATGGTCTGTGCGATCCAGCTGGAATATAAACATACCTTTAATCCAGGAGACAGGCAAGCAGATCTGAGTTCAAGGCCAGCCTGGTCTGCATATTGTGTTTCAGGGCAGCCAGGGCCACACATAGAGAAAACCTGTGTACAAAAAAAAAAAAAAAAAAATGTATTCAGCTGGCATTGTTATGCTTTGTGGACTTATGTTTTGGTGTCTGTCTTTGGCCCAATCTGGTGTTGGGTCATGATGGTGAAAGTACAATTTCTGCTTGTCATTTATACTAGGCAGCACTGCCAACAGGTACATTAGTTTTCATTCCTGTTAACTCTTCTTTCTTAGACCCCCCCATCTCTCTGCCTACATTCCACAATTGTGTTTTTACACCGTTTACATGCTAGACCCCCCCCATCTCTCTGCCTACATTCCACAATTGTGTTTTTACACCATTTACATGCTAGTTTTGACATTAGTCATTGACAGCAGAAGTTAGAAAGAAGCTACACTTCCAGTTGAACCTTTGCAAGTCTGATAGATAGATAGATAGATAGATAGATAGATAGATAGATAGATAGATAGATCGATCTATGGATAGATCTATAGATAGATAGATCGCCATGTGGATGAGTGTTGCAAATTTGGTGAAGCAGCTGGTGGGGTTTTCCAGAGGCCAAAGAAAGAGAGCTGAGAACTGTCTGTGAGTCTAGCTGACGTGTACCTGGAGCCTTGGCCAGCAGCCCTCTTCTCACATCCTCAGTCCCATGCCTTGATAATTTAGACTACCCAATCAGATTGTTTCCATATATGGGAGACACGGAAGCCAAATGTATAGAAAAAAAAAGCCCCATTGCATTTAGAGCTTGACCTCCACGCAGGCACAATAAACTGTTTTCTAGAGGAAAATCAGAAACAGCTGTGTCGCTTCCCCCACCAGAAGCCGTTCAACATTGGAATGCGGCAAAGCTCACTGTCAGAGTATTTTGGGATGTCTGTAATGCTGCGTAGCCCCGCATCGTCGGCCCGCTCAGCACGTGGCATGGTACTCCCTACGTAAATAACTTGGAAAGTGCAAACCGAAGCACTGGTTTCTAACCGAGCAAAAGCGTCAGGCAGCATCTGAGGCCGAAATTGCCCCTGTTCAATGACTCTGCCCACCTGTTTCCACCAAGGTACTTGAAAGCCCATGCTCCCACTGTTCCTGTTCACGACCACCCTTCGTACATTTCAAAGCCCTTGTGCTAGCATTGCTGGCTCTCGTCATCCCCCCCCAGGTCTCCCCCTTCTCATATACCAGTTGTTCTCTAAGTAAGCACAAGGTGCCCCACCCCCACTATCCTGCCATATCCATTATTCTCTTCTACTGTCCCTTCTCTCCAAGATAGACCTGGCCATGTCCAGTCTGTTTCTGCTCTGGACTCTTCCAGATGCCTCTGGATATTCTCTATTAGATATAATAAAAACCTTCCCTTTAACCAAGGAGCGGCCATTTTGGTTTCCTTACTGCAGCCCCCACATCCAGGGAGGACTATGCTTACCTTCGGGCACACAGACAGATTGTTGTAGGGATTATGTTGCTTCAGTAAAATGGTTGTAGGCTCTCCTTCAAGATCTGTGACTTCACTAGCACCGAGCATTTGGGTAGGTTTTGTGCTCCAGGCATGGTTTCTCTCCTGTTGAGTGGGCTGACCTGATGCTTTCTTTGTGTAGCTGTCCCTGCGTTTGGCAGCTTCCCTAGACTGGAGGTTAGAGATGGAGAAGGAGGGAAATGTATATAATGCTATGGTAGCTTAAGAGAAACTCGGGTAGGCCAAGCGTCCTGCCTGTTGGTTAAGAGCCAATCGGAGGGGTGGGGGTGGGTACCCTTGAGATTGTCACAGTGGGCAAGGGGCACGCTGCAGATTAAATTCAAAAACGCCTGTGCATTTTCATGGCTGCAAACCACGTGTTCCTGCGACTTCTGTTCCTGCAAGCCTGCCTAACTAAACTCAGAGACCACCCTTGGACACGCTGCTGCTGCCTGGCCTGCAAAAAGACTTGAGAAACTGTAACGCTCTCTGCGCCATTTGTTTGGTTTTTCAGCTCACACTTAAGAAAGGCTTCTCCTGCCTCTCCCGAGTTCGTGGCTGCCTTCTGGCTGAGTGGAGTCTTCCCTTCACCTGGCCGCTACCCACCTGACGTCAGGGACTGCTCCTCCTGACCACTGAAAATTTCACCTCTAGGTCAAGTCTGCAGTTCCCGCCCGGATCAGCAGGGTCGCTCAGCGCCCTCTACCTGTGGCTTAGAGTTCTGCCAGCCCTTGGGGCCCAGAAGTTTCTTCCTCTTTCCTGCTCCTGCTGGAGTTTCGGTTTCTTTTCTCTGCAGCGGGTGAGGGAGGGGCCGCTGGGAGGCTGAGCCGAGCCTGGCTGAGCCGAGCCTGGCTTTCCCTCACCGCGTCACCCTCCGGGCCGAGAGGGGAGGACCCAGAGGTGTGCGTGAAAGCGCTGAGGAAGGGAGACGGCTCCTGGGAGGAGAGAACTCAGTGAGGCACATGGGAGGTCAGTTTGGGCACAGATGAGTCTGGGGTGCGATCGCCTTAAAGTGCACCTGGGAGGTTTTGTTTTCTAGAGTAGGCCCGCGGTCGCTAGGGCGAGCCCCTCCCGCTCCCCTCCCTGGCCAGCAGGTCTGGGCCCTCAAGAGCCCCCTGCGCCCCCTTCTCTCCCATCCTGTTCCCTCTACCCTCCACCCACTAGAAAGTGTAGAGGCTCCGGGGCTCGGGCTGAGGGGCGCCTCCGTCAGTGACTTCCTAACACCCTGAGCCCATGACCTGCGTGAAAACGCGCGGGTTGCATAACCCCGTGTCACTTTTTAACCCCCTGTATCTCTGGAGCTCCAATTTTAAGACTCTTTGTTTTTACCTAAAAAGAGATTTTCTGAGATTGATCTCACCATATCGCCGAGGCCGGCCTTGGCCTTCTGGGCTCAAATATCATTCCTCCTGAGCCTCTTCAGTAGCCGGGACTGCAAGCCTGTGCCTCCCCTATGCCCATCTTGCTCGCTTCAGCTTCACCAGACGTAACTGACCCTGGGCTTGTTGGTCGTTCTTCCTTCTTGCGACTTTGCACTGAAGGTTATGTTGTTCGCTTGCTCAGAGCTAGATAACAAGAGTTAGCTCTTGCTGGGGAGAGCCCTATGTGTTGTTCTTGCTAAGTTCTTGACCCTGAGTGCTTCCCTGTTAGTATGAGCATTTTGCGCCTTGATGGGCAGGTTTAACACCTGCCATTGTCCAATACCCTCACTTTTCAGAGTTCACTTCACCTCCCTTGCTCAGAGTCTGCACTTAAAGGCTGGAGATACTGGCTGCTGTGACAGTAGTCATGGCCAAACACAGAATATAATCGGTTTTGTTTGTTTATTTCCTTGTTTATTTTATGAAAAATATCAGTGGAAATAAAGTATGTTTCTGGTATGAAAAAAAGTATCATAAGCATCCATACAATATTTGCTGTGAAGTAAATCTACAAGCTTGCACTAGCTAGGACTGACAATAAAAAATTAAGTAACTTCCAGACTGTACAGGAGGGTTAATGCTGTGGTTCACAGCTGTGAAAGACTAAAGCTTTTCAGCTCTTGTTTTAGGAGTAAACTTTGAAGTAGAATCTCTGTTTTGGTTTGGGGTTTTGGGTTCTGGAGACAGGGTTTTTCCGTGTAGCCGTGGCTGCCTTGGCCTCAGACTCAGAGATCCTGCCCCCTCCAGGACCTTCTGTCCTTACCCCCACTTCTCCACAAGACTCGCTATGCCTCATCCAGTCTTTGGCTGTGAGTGTCCGCATCTGCTTTATCCACTGCTGGGTGGAGCCTCTCAGAGGACAGCTGTGCCAGGGCTCCTGTCTGAGCCTAGAATAGTGTCAGGGGTGGCTCTCTCCCATGGGGTGGCCCTCTCCCATGGGGTGGGTCTCAGGTTGGCCCCGGCGTTGGGTTGGACATTTCCTCCGTCTCTGCTGTATCTTTATCCCTGAACATCTGTAGGTAAATTTGTGGGTCCACTAGTAAAAGGAGCCAGGGCTGTCTCTGACATGGACTCTGTTGCCTGCTTTCTGGCCACTCCCCCTCTGGCAGAGCAGCCTTGCCGGGCTCAGAGGAAGAGGACAAGCTCGGTCCTGATGCAACTTGATGAACTGGGGTGGGCAGGTGAATAGGGGCCTCTCCTTTTCAGAGGAATAGGAGGGATGAGCAATGAGGGAGGGAGGCAGGAGGCTACCAGCAAGATGTAAAGTGAATTGATTAATTAATTAATTAAGTAAGTAAGTAAGTAATTAAAAAAGAAAACACAGATCCACCCTCTCTGCCTCCCTAGTGCTGGGATCAATGGGGAGTGACACTATTGCCAGGTTGACTTTGGTTTTTTTGGTTTTTAAATGATGGAAGCGGGAAAACACTCCCAAACCTACCGGGTCCCAAAGACTGTCCAACACTGTACTGCATGGGCAAATACTAGGAAGAAAAGAGTTTGTCCTTTGCCCTGTGCTATGCAGACAGGTCTTCTGCCTTAGACTGTGCTTCTGTACAACTCGAAGGCCTGTGTTACCTGTTTTCTGAGTTTCTCGCTCCTCCTACACCTTTCTGTGCCACCACTACAGTCTTCATCTGGAGTGTTTCTGTCCCATTCAGCAAATTATTATTGATTTGTCCTTTGTTTCAGGTTCTATCTGCTCAGAGCTGAAAACTTAAGTGCTTTCTGCCATCATATCATCCAGCTTGAAGGACACATAGAGACTGTGCTGTTTTTAGTTGCCTTTGTAGACTGATCCACCAGTGTTGGATAATCTGCCTACCATCAGCAGTCCTGAAGAAAGAAGAGCCCCAGAAGTTAGGACAGGAAAAAAATAAGGGAGGAGTATAATGTCTTCAGCAGTTCTGATGAAGGTACAGAAGGATGCTGCTTGCCCTGTCTGCCAAGAGCTTTTGACAGAACCCCTGAGTCTAGGCTGTGGCCACCGTGTGTGCCAAGCCTGCATCACCAGGAACAAGACCAAAGTAATCAACCCCAGAGAGAAAAGCAGCTGTCCAGTGTGTGGTACCAGATTCTCATCTGAAAAGCTACAGGCTAAACAGCCTCTGGCAGATGGAGTAGAGAGACTTAGGGAAGTCAAATTGAACCCTGATGTTGGGAAAAAGGGAGATCTCTGTGTACAGCATGGAGAGAAACTCCTTCTTTTCTGTAAGGAAGACAGAAGAGTCATTTGCTGGGTTTGTGAGCGTTCCCGGGAGCATCGTGGTCATCACACCTTCCTCCGGGAGGATGCAGTCAAGGAATGTCAGGTGAGGCCATGAGGGAGGAAGACAGGGCAGAAAGTGATCCTTAGTAACAAGTCTTACCTTGCCATCCATTCATCCATTTATCCATTCTCTCTCTCTCTCTGTCTGGTTTTCAACACAGGGTTTCTCTGTGTAGCTTTGGCTGTTCTGGACTTTGTAGACCAGACTGGCCTCAAACTCACAGAGATCCACCTACCTCTGCCTCCCTGAGTGCTGGGATTACAGGCGTGTGCCACCGAGTCCAGCTCCCAACCATTCTTGATTCACATTGCCACCATCGTATTGAGCCCTTAACGTACGTTTGGTTCCTAATACCTAAAAATATCGTTTCTTTCCGTTTGTATGAGGTTGGCCGGCAGAACACACAACCTCTTGGCCAAGAACAGAAGGTTTCGGGCCTCTTTCCCTTGCATTGCTGGGTGGGGGTTGCTTTCTGAGAGCCCTTTCACAGCTCCCCAGCAACTGAATTGGGAAGATCGTCCTGCGAGGAAAGGATTGCCTCGCTACGTGGTCTGTACTGACTCTAAGGAAAGACAGTGTGAAGATGATGACGTTCTGCTCCAGGGATAGAGAACATGTCTACCTCCTTAGGTTTGCTTCTATGTCGTAAACACTAAGCACCACCTCACAGCTTTTATAAGCTGGTCCTTTCTGGGAACAACCTAGCCTCTTTTGCTAGTTCTTTGTCCTGGTGGAAAGCATAATACATACAGTTCCTTCCTCACAGGAGAATCTCCAGAACACTCTCAAGAGGCTGAGGAAGGAGAAGGGGAAGGTGGAGAAACTGGAAGCTGACATCAAAGAAGACAGAATTTCCTGGAAGGCAAGAGATTGTTCTTGAGTGATACTGAGAGGAGCCTTAGCCAGACTTTCCTTGGTCCTAAACCAATTCGGCCCTTCGTCATTTGTTTTCTTCCAATTGATAAGTCTAAAACTATTTGAAAAGTTACTTTTTAGGGATAAGAGATGGTAGCAGATTGTTGTAAATACACACAAATATTTGAAATTGAACAAAAAGATAAATAGTATAATGTCAAAGGCTGGGAAAGTCTGTGTTCTCTTTTCCACCAAGGCTCCAGCAGTTCTGGAAGACACCAGATAAAAACAAACAGACAAAAGACAGTTTCTCAAAACCAGGAGTACTCATTCAGGGAGGCATGAGTGTCCAAGACATCTGTCCACAATGGGAGCCTCATTCCGATCTTACATTATTTTTGGAGGTGGCTTAGATAAGACAAGGAGAGGGCTGTTTGTCTTTGGTTCTTGTTTGGGTTTGTTTGTACTGAGGGGAAAACAGAAGGTAAAAATAGCATCCCCCCAGATTGCTGTTCTGTTCCTACATCTCTATAGTTTGAAGTCTTACTATCTTACACTGACATCTTACTCCTGTCCATTCCTCAGTGCCAGATCCAGACTGAAAAACAAA